AAAGAAAGTGACTAAGGAATGGTGTGATGGATCAGAATAGGAAGAACTCTTACAGTGAGCTGATCTGGCTAAGTGGTTAAGAGTCAGAGTCTCTTATTGATTGCCATTCTCATGCCTGTAGGGCTTGGAGGGGTCACCACTGCCTTTTGCAGCTGCAGCCCTGTTCACTGCATGTTCTAATCATCATGAGCCTTCCAAGGGCACAGGCTCCTCCTGCATAGCATGGCTGCTCCACAGGTGTCCCAACCTGGAGCACACCTCATGGCTATAGTTTGTGCTTTTCACAAGCACCCTGTCCCCCTGTCTTCCTGCCTCACCTAGAGTATCCCAGCCCAACAGGCTACACAATGTGGCTACTTGTTCAATTATTAAGATTTTAATTTGCTTTCACCATGATGTAATAAGTCAGCATAGTTTTAGCTACTGAAGAAATAATGACAAAGATCCCTTATTTACGAAATTTATTTTTTTGTAGAGATGTAGACAGCATTCGAGTTAATTAATGGATTTATTAGGTAGTTCCAGTTGCTATGAAGAACAATAAGCTGGAATAAATTACTCTAAATAGAATGATCAGGGAAGGCCTCTCTGAAAAGATGAAATCCTAAGGAAATGGGCTGAACATAATTCCCAGAGAGGCTGATCCAAGCAGAGAAGGCTGCATGGAAATAAAATCACCAAATAGGGGGGTGTTCCTGCAAGGTATGAAATAACAAAGAGGCTGAAGTGAATGAGCAACAATTAGGAATAGTAGAATGAGCATCAGAGGTATTTGAAGAGCTTTGTAAGTCTGGCGAGAACCTTGCCTTTTGCTATGAATGTAATAGCGTCTGGTAGGCACATTGTGAACATTCAAATAATCACAAGATCCCCAAAAACTAAGAATGAAATCCAAGGGTTAATTTCTGTGTTTCCTCCATCTGCACTCCATATAATGGAGCTAGAAGTTTCTCATTTTTCATTTTTATTCTCATAAACGTCAACACTTGTTACTTTCTTTACTACCCTACAAATATCTTTTTAGTTGGCTTAGTTTTAACGTAAATCTTTAACATAAGATAATTTATTATTACATACTATATTGTATTACTAATAATTATATGATATTTTTTAAACTGAAAAGGAAAATGAGGCAGTGAAATCATTAAAGTTATACCTTAAAAATTATAATTTTTTTTTAGTACAGGGGCTACAGGGTCTTATTATGTAATTGGACTCAGTGATTCTCTTGTTTTCAGCCTCCTAAGCATTGGGATTATAGGCGCATGCCACTATGCTCAGTCTCTATCGCTGTCTCAGAATGCCCTGGGGGTGGGGCCAGCATGGCATGCCGGGGATTGAACCCCAGTCACTGAAAAATTCTAAATCTTATAAACACCACCAAGCTTGGCGTATAACTCTGTGGTAGAGCACTTGGCTAGCATGTGTGAGACCACAGGTTCAATCTCCAGTAACACAAAAATTCTAGAACAAAAAGACACTGGTGGGTTTTGAGCAAAGGAAAGGAATACTGCAATTTAAATTATGAGTCTGGCTTCTGAGTGGGGACAGACTCTGGTGGAGGAAAGTAAAGAAAGCAGGAAATCACATGGGAACTTTATGCAGTAGACCGAGAATGATAGTGCCTAGGAGCAAAACCTGGGTGGGAACAATGGAGCTGGTGAGAAACGCTCCTGCATTCTAAAGAAGACCCATAAAGATGTGCATGATGCTCACAGATAGCCCACCCCCAGCCCTGACATTAGCATCAGCACAAATGTCCAACAGGCCTACGCAGTTCGCAGTGCTTCAGGCAAGCCCACTGATGGTCCTGCTTCACCACCACCAACAACCACAAAGATAAGTCTCAAGAAATAAATCATGGATGTGAATTTTTTTTTTTTTTTAAGGTACTGGGGATTGAACTCAGGCCCTTGTGCTTGCCAGGCAAGCGCTTATTCTACTGAGCTATCTCCCCAGCCCCGATAATGTGAATTTTTATTTCCCCACTAAAATCTCTCTTCTACCTTGATTAGCTCTATTTGCCTCTCTTTATATTAAAAAACCCAAGCTCCCTGTGTCCTCTTTATTTTCACCCTATTATGCTCTGAATATCCATCTGATTCAGTTTTTCATCTTTGCCAGTCCTATAAACCTTTCCATGCTACCATCTGGAACTTACAACCTAGCAACAGCACAACCCTCATGAGCACAGCCTTTTTTTTTTTTTTTCTGAAAGTTCTCTACCCTTTTGGCTCTACCAGGAGTGTGCACTGAGGACACTGCTTCTGCAGCGTGTGGCTGCCTCCCATTCTCTCAGTGGTGCCGTTCTTGTACTTTCCTGCTGCTTCTTGACTCTAGGTCTTCACTTTCAAGACTATCTCTGATCCATTACTGTGATCATCCCAGCGTAAGTATCACCCAGTAAACTCACCAAGGTTATATCCAATTCTATATCACTGTGCTGACTGGGTTTATTTGAATTTATTACCAAAGGCTGTATTTAATTGGATTCTTAGTAATCCTGGAATCCTTAGAAATCCTGTGTATTTCTAGTCAGTGATTCTTGTTAATTCTGCATCAGAATTATGTACCAAAACAGCCTTCTGAGCTACATTCCAAAGGTTTCTGACTCAGCAGGTCTAGAGTGGGGCCCATTTTTCTCATTTCTCACAAGTTTCCAGGTGGTGTGGGTGCTGCTGGCCTGGATACCACCCTGGGATGTCAGAGATGACAATTCATATTCTCTCTCTCTCTCTCTCTCTCTCTCTCTCTCTCTCTCTCATTCTCAACTCTTCAATATCCATTTTTCTATCGTGAATGTCAGCTGATTAGTTCGCCTATTTTAATAAGACAAAAGGGACCTAAAGGGACTGCCACCAGCATCCACCGACAGACCCAGCTTATGTGTGCACCTTGTACACTCTGGTCTTCTTTCCATGTCTGTAAATCAAGCCATTCTTTTGGGTGCCCACACCCCTGTGTCTTTCTACATAAGGAAAGACTTGCTCCTGTTACTGTTTTCTTTTTTTCTGGCACCATTTTTTTCTCCCTCATTGAACTGTTTCCATCAAAGTTCAAAGCTACACAATGCATTTTTCTCATCTTAAGGAAAAAAAAAAAAAAAAAAAAAAGCACTTAAACTGTTTGAAACCCCATCTTCCTACATAGCCACTGTTCCCTGTCTCTCGCAAGGCTCTTGTTGGATTGACTCGCTCTTTACCTCACTCTTAAATACACCCCTTCAGGCCTCCTGCTTCCCTCACTCTTCCAAAGCTGGTCTCAGCATGGTCTTCAATTCTCTTTTTTTGTTTCAACAAGTCCAGCGATCAATTTTTCTGTCCTTATCCTGTTGATTTTCCAGTATCATTTGATATGGTTGGTTCTACTATTATTTTAAAAGTTATTTTTTTTCTGCCTGTTTTCTCCTCTTCCTCCTCCTCCTGTCTCCTCCCTCTTCCTCCTTCCTCCCTTCTCCCTCGTCCCCCCTCTTCCTCTTCTCTCCTTCCTCTTTCTCCCTCCTCCCATTTTCCTCCCTCTTCCCCCTCGCCCTCCTCCCCCTCCTCTTCCCCCATCCTCCTCCCTCCTCTTCCCTCTTCCTTCCTCCCTCTTCTTCCTTCCCTCCTCCCTCCTCCTCCCTTTTCCTCCCTCCCTCTTTATCCCTCCTCCCTCCTCCCTCTTCCTCCCTCCCTCCTCCCTCCCTCTTTCCTCCTCCTCTCCTTTTCTTCCTCCCTCCTCCTCTTTCCTCCCTCTTCCTCCTCCTCCTTCTTCTTCTCTTTTTGAATTCTAGTGATAGTCCATACTTCTAATTGCTTTCAGGTCATGTTTTTTAATTAATTAATTAATTATTTTGGGGGGCAGAACCAGGGATTTAAACTCAGGCCCTTGTGCTTGCCAGAGAAGCACTTATTCTACTGAGCCATCTCCCCGGCCCCTGGTCAGGTTTTTTAAATCTCATCATTTCTCTATATTCACTAATAACCTAATCTTAACTGGCCACTGATTTTTAAGTACTTTCTAAATGCTGATTAGTTCCAGATATAATATTCAATTATCTTTATATGTATCTAGATATAAGATTCAAATACACATAAAATGGTTTAATAGTAATTTTCTTAAGAATTTGCTTATTCTCTGGTATATTTTATTTCATTTCAGTAAATATCCAGTTCATTGACTGAGTTTCTCAATTTATTTATTTATTTTGCGGAACTGGGGATTGAACCCTGCCAGGCAAGTGCTTATTCTACAGAGCTATCTCCCCAGCCCCTTGGGAGATAACATTTTTAGAAAATTAAAGTACTGCATGTCTCTCTCTCTCATGCTAAATTCTATCTATGAGCAAATCAATTTTTTCAAAATGAATTCGTGGTTAGTTAAACCAGACAGAAAACAAAAACATAGGGAGCCCAGAGGAGAACAGGCAGAAGAAGCCAAATTCAGTCTTAATGCAAGGATAAAGCAACACTGTACAACTGAATTCTCACTCTGGTGCTCAGCACCACAGATGAGGTTCTGTGGAAGCAGAACCATTGGCCTGAGAAAACATGGTCAGCGCAGGACTCTCATAACAGAGAATGAAACTCAGGTAAAAGAGGTAAAGCAGGCTGGGCAGGAGCTCCTGGGAATCGAGAGCGCTGTGGAGGAGCTCCAGAATCCACGGTGTGAGGCTGTGATGTCAGTCCTGAGGTCACAAAGGTGAGCAGAGGGAGTGAGTTCCAGTCCACAAAGCCTCGGGTGCCAGTGCAGCAAGATGAGGGGGGTTTGGGGCCCTGCATAAGAGGACGGAGGGGGCCACAGCTGATTGGTATGTGTTCCCTGAAGTGGGTCCTTCCTACCTTTGCCACTTAATCCTCGACTTATACCATCTTTCCAAGGATTCAGATTTTCTTTCCCTGACTCTAATATCTCTTGATCTCATAAACTCCTAATCCTCTCGAAGTATCTTTTGCTGTATCCCCCCATGCAGGCCCTACAGCTTCCCTTGCCCTGAATCTACTTCCTGCTCATCTTTCCTGTCTTCACTGCCACCCTAAGGATAACTCCAGTCTCCTCTCCCCATCTCCCCAGCTGTGTCCCCACAGACCTGAGCCTTGTGTTGCCCACCATGGCCAAAGGTGGAGAGGCTCTGCCACAGGGCTGCCCAGTGCCAGCCCAGGATCCCCACCTCATCAAAGTGACAGTGAAGACGCCCAAGGACAAGGAAGATTTCTCAGTTACAGACACCTGCACCATTCAGCAGCTGAAGAAAGAGATCTCACAGCGCTTCAAGGCCCACCCTGATCAGCTCATCCTAATCTTTGCTGGAAAAATCCTCAAGGACCCTGACTCGCTGGCACAGTGTGGAGTACGAGATGGCCTCACTGTTCACCTGGTCATCAAGATGCAGCGCCGCTCCATAGGCACTGAGTGCCCAGCTTCTTCAGTCCCTCCCCCAGGTCCAAGTCCTGGGTCACTCCCCCAGCCAAGTTCCATTTATGCAGCAGATGGGCCTCCCCACTTCAGCTTAGGTGTCCTTGGTGGGTTAGGCCTGATGCCCGGTAGCGTCCCTGACCAGCTCAGCTCACTGCTATGGCAGCCCATATCACTGCCTGAGTTTGTGACTCAGCTTTATGACGACCCCTTCATTCAGGGTCTGCTGTCCAACACGAGCCTGGTGCGCCAGCTGGTTCTTGACAACCCTCACATGCAGCAGCTGATCCAGCACAACCCGGAGATTGGACATATTCTAAACAACCCTGAAATCATGCGACAGACCTTGGAGTTTCTCCGTAACCCTGCCATGATGCAAGAGATGATGCGTAACCAGGATCGGGCTCTCAGTAACCTGGAGAGCATCCCAGGTGGCTACAATGTGCTTCGTACCATGTACACAGATATTATGGACCCAATGCTCAATGCAGTACAGGAGCAGTTCGGTGGCAATCCTTTTGCCACTGCCGCTACTGCTGATACCAGTAGTGGCAGCAGCCAACCTTCAAGGACAGAGAATTGTGATCCTCTCCCCAACCCCTGGACTTCCACATATGCAGGCTCAGGTGGCAGACAAGGAAGGAGACCTGGAGGCCAGGCTACATCTGAAATGAGAAATAGAGTTCCAAACTTTTTGGGTAACATAGGCCTCTATCATTATCTCCAGCGATTACATGCAATGCCCCAGTCCCTAGGGACCTATTATCAGGGGACCACATCTTCCCACAGCTCAAGCCAAGAACCACCATCATCAGGAAGCAGAGTTCCCCCAACTTCATCCTCATCCCAGGGGCCTAGGTCAGGCCAGCCTCTCCCCAAGAAATCAGTAGCAATCACAGGAAATTCTTCTTGCTCAGCTTTCCTAAGATACTCTTCAGGGAGCAGAGCTGGGCAAGATGGAGGCCAGAATGTTACAGGGAAGAGCTCTACTGGCCATAGCCTGCCTGATCTTGTATCTGAGCTTGGCAATTCTGCCAACAGGGCTCCATTTTTTCTTTCACCACCTTCTCCTATGACTGCTACTCCTGGAGTCCCTCATCTTCCCTGGCTGCTACCACCCAGTCATTCAAGGTCTCTGAGACCAGATAGTGTGAATCAGGCCCCACAGTTGCAGGATGAGATGCACGAGCATCTGCCACTCCTGCTGAACCTTCAGGCAGCCATGGAAAACCCTCGTGCCATGCAAGCCCTGCTGCAGATTGAACAGGGCCTACAGGTCCTGGCTACTGAAGCACCTCACCTCCTACTTTGGTTCATACCTTGCTTAGCAGGGGTGAGTGGTATAGAAGGAGGGACACAGTCTGGAGAAGGTGCCTTTATGTCTGAGCATCCCCAGCCAACTCCAGCTCTTCAGGTTTCTCCTTTACAGGGCTCATCAGAGCACAGCTTGCATTCCACTCCACTCCTGCAGATGTTGCAGGCCATGGCTGGAGCCAATCCCCAGCAACCACACCCTGAGTCTCACTTCCGGGTCCAACTGGAACAACTTCAGGCTATGGGCTTTCTGAATCCTGAAGCCAATCTGCAGGCCCTCATTGCCACAGGGGGTGATGTGGATGCTGCTGTGGAGAAGTTGAGGCAGTCACTGAAATCTTAGTTTACAGACTTATCTTTTCCTCTGTGCCTTTTCCCTATACTCTATTACCCTAGCTCTCCCATTCTTGAATACAGTGGCACTATAAACCAAATTTACTATGATGCCCTTTATAGTGTTGCTCCAGAACCAGTGAGCAAGAAGAGTAAAAAGCGTGTATGGGGGTTGTTGCATATGTGTGACTCAACCACTCCCACCATTGTAGCACTATGAGTCTGAATTCTCTGTATGCCAACCTTGAGATGAAATTACATCCAATGTCCAGTATCTGCTGCTGCCTGAGTCTGGTTCTTGTGGGTTGTGAGAAAAGGGAAGGACATGGGAGGAGAATGGGTGATAAGGGATGTCTCAGAGGAGGGAAGGCTTTAGAGGGGAGAATAAACATTTGAAGTTAGCAGAGTCAGGCATGGGACAGAGGTGGGAAAGTTTTTGCAACCCTCTGAAGACTGAAGTCCACAGCTTTGCTCTTGACTTTCTGGTAGCTTTGTTTCCCAAGTAGCTGCGACCATCTGTTTTTATCAGAGTTCTAGACACTATCCTGCCTAAAATTTTATCATGGTTTTTTACATTTATTACCCCTGAAATTGGTCCTACAAATGTCTGTCACCTTCAGGATTTATTGCTGACCTTTGAGTAGACAGATAAAACAGCTGATAATTAGACCACCTCATGATTCCAGAATTTCATCTAGTTTTTAATATCGCTTGTAGCCAGATTCATAAAGTTGATTTTTTTACAATGCCTAGCTCAAAAATTAAACACCTACCTATGCTCAGCATCTATGAGTTATTAGGAATTCGTTGTCACTAACAGATACACTACCACTTTCATGAGTTCATGGTTAAGGCAAGAGGAACTGTGCAAGGTGTATATCACTATATTTATTTACAAACTATGATAAGTGCTATAAAGAAAAAGACTAGAAAGCTAAAAAAAAAAAAATCCAGCATATTACAAGTAGGTTTATTGTTCTAGTCTGGGGAGATAAGAAAAGCTTCTGAGTTGTGCTCAGGACTAACATTTAAAAAGTGGTAGGAGTTAAATAGGTAAGGCAGCCTAGTGTGGTGGTCCATACCTGCAGTCCCATCACTGGCAGGCTGAGGCAACAGGATCACCATGAGTTTGAGGCCAGCCTGGGCTGCATAGTGAGCTCATAGGCAGCCTGAACTATGTAGTATGAGATGCTGTCTAAAACAACTAAAACCAAACCAAACCAAACCAAAACAAGTGAGTAAAACTATATAGGAAAGGAAAAAGTATTTCTGCAGAAAAGCTATCTGTATATGAATGCACTGAGGTAGGAAGCACATGAAAGAAGGAGGCGCCCCTTCTATCTCAGATTACCTTCAGATCTGTTTTCATTATTGCTCTATTTCAAGGGTAAAAGTTTTATAATTCACAAGCCAATTATATGAAACATGTTTCCCGGTACTCCTACACATACATAAAGATATTCATTATATACCCATTATGTATCTCTTCTCTCTATGTAGTATATATATCAGATATATGTTTTTCTTATCAAGATATGTTATATAAATAGATCTGTGAACATATCCTGGTGAGAAATGCACAAACATATGAGGTATATCTACTTAAATATACTTTCATACACATAACCTATGCACATGTATATACATATAAAGTACAAATATGCAGTTTTTACACAAACTGAGAGTGTGCAGACAAACCTTCTTTCTGTATTAAAGTATAAAAAAGGGGGTTCCTGAGCGAGTATGCTCCTGTGTTAAAAATGGCTGTGGTATATATTTACATTTTCTTTATCCATTTATCTAGAAGGATTCCATGTCTTAGTATTGTGACTAATGCTACAATATATATGGGTGTGTCAGCTTTTCTTTTGTATGCTGATTTTCTTCCAGAGATATACTCAGAAGTGGAGTAATTGGGTCATATTATAAATCTATGTTTAGTTTTCTGAGGAACTTCCAACCTGTCCCTTTTCGTGGCTGTGCTAATTTATAATTCCACCAATGCCTCAGAGCCCTCCACAGTTGGTTAGCTTCTTTTTTTGTGAGGGGGAATACTTCCTTAACATTTTATTGCCAGTGAACAGTTTTAAATGACTTTAAAAAAAACCCTCAAAACAATCTGAATTACCTTTTTGCTTTTCAAAGTATCCAAAACTTCTCCACTATAATATCTTTTTTTTTTTTTTTTTTTTTTTTGTGGAACCAGGGATTGAACTCAGACCTGTGCTTGCCAGGCAAGTGCTTATTCTATTGAGCCAACTCCCAGGCATCCATATCTGTATGTTTAGATACACTGTTTACAGGCTATCACAATCCTCTCTGGTCCATCAGCTTAGATGTACTTACTAACCTTGGTCTGTTACCATACATTTTGCAAAGACTTTGGCCAGACATCTCAAAACAAGTGAAATATATTTTAAATAAGCCAGAAAATGCAAATATGAAAGCAAATGAATCATTCAGTCCAAGTGGGCATTTTATTAATAACCTCAGTTACTAATAACAAATGACCTAAATATAAGCAGCATTACCTATATCTTCATGTAATGAAAATTAATGATAATAGTGCAGTGAGTATAATTTCAATTAAATCTGACAGTTGCTATATATTTGACTGGTTTCAAAAAGATAGAAACAAATGTATTTGTTTTACATAAATGGATATGGCATGTGTTACACATTCCTTTTCTTATTACTAATTAGAAATTCAAAATAGCCACTAAATATATTTATTGAGAACTACTATAGATGATTCATGTAAAGAGAGAACTCTGGATAGAGAATTTATAAATTATCTTTTAAAATTGGGCAGAAATTATTTAACTGGATTTAGATTTGTTTCTCTGCTTCTGATGAAGCAAGAGAATCTTGGTCTAAAAAGATGCTGCTTTATAAAAGATACAAGAGGTGACATTTCTGTGCAAACCAACTTGCTGGTGAGGTTCTTGAAATCCTTGCCGCTGTTCCAGGAGATACAGGAGTCAGCCTCTTGCCTGGCCCCACAGCGGTGCAGCGAGGAGGAGGAGGAGGTGCCTGTGGCAGCAAGATCACTAGGAGCTGAGACAGGATCTGGCAGGTGGACGCACTTAACAGACTACTGATGATTACATGTCAAGTTATTAGTAAGGAAAGCAGTGACTCCATGAGAGAGTGCTTTGGGAGACGGGCGAGATACAAATCGAACAGAAGATGCCATAGGACCAGAGTTTGTAGTCTGGGATAATAAAGGCCATAGAAATTTCAGGGAGATACTTAGCTAACAGTCTCTACACAGTGACTAAAAATTGGTTTTAGTTTTAGTTATATTATATATATATATATATATATATATATATATACAGTTACTGTATTTCATGTTTATATACAAGTGTTATGTATGTATACAAAATTTATTTTCTCTCCATCTAGGAATTAAAATCAATGAGTGACATATTATGCTTACCATAACTGTCATTTTCTAGGTGCATATGGCTTTAAGTTCCTTTCTCTTTTTGGCTTGGCACCTACCTAAGGCAGTGTACATCCTCCTTTCTCAATGACCTCACCTCACTTTTTGTTACTCATATTTGAGGCTTTATCCTCTTCAGACTGTGGTATTTATTTTCTGTCACTGGCTGATCAGAATAAAGGGAAGGAAGAAACAACACAGTATCTTGAGATAGTTGTCTCCATCACAAAATACAGTTTCTTTCTCCCTCAGTCTCTGTTTGTTTGTTTGTTTATTTATTTATTTATTTAGTATAGGTCTACAGGGTCTTGTTACACAGATCAGACTCATAGTGATCCTCCTGTTTTCAGCTTCCCAAGCTCTGGGATTACAGGTGTGTGCCATCACACCCAATTTATCTCTCTCTCTTTTTTTTTTTTTTTTTTTTTTGCGGAACTGGGGATTGAACTCAGGCCCTTGCGCTTGCCAAGGAAGCGCTTATTCCACCGAGCTATCTCCCCAGCCCCCAATTTATCTCTTTTTATTTATTCTCTAAAGCCTGCTCACTTGGGGACATGTTTGAACCTAAAGTTTCCAAGAAAATGATAGTTTGAATTTCTTTTTTTTTTTTTTTTTTTGAGCCAATTAAAAAAACTTTATTTGTGCTTCAAACTTTAAAACCAAGACACTGGGTAAGAAATCCATCCAGAAAGACGTTTCCAAACTAAACACATTTCTCTTTATAGACTCCCAACAGAGTATATAATACACATCAATTTCAGTTTACAATCGCCACAGTCCCTCCTATACATGGCAGGACACTTAAACTGGATTCTGAATGTTCTCATACTCTATAATTTCACCAACTGCCAAAGCTTTCTTATTTTTTTAAAATTTATTTATTTAGTGTGTGTGTGTGTGTGTGTGGCAGGCTCAGTCCACCAGGGGGCAGGGCTGGCTGGCATGTGGTGCTGGGGGATTGAACCGCGGTCCATGTGCTTTGTTAAGCTTGTTCTAAGTAGGTGCTTTAGACCACTGAGCCATCTCACCAGCCCCAAGGATTTTTTTTTTTTTGGTTCCTCGAATGCCTTCAGGGCACGTTTGGCCAGCGGGAGAATTGTGAGGTTCGAACTCCAGCAACCAGAGGCTGACAGCTTTGTGGAAGCAGCCACTTAAAGGACTGAGCTAGGCCCAGGCCCCCTGCCAAAGCTTTCTTAGATGAAACCTAAGGAAATTTTTTGATTTTGGGGAGATGGTTTTATTGATGTTAGAGCCGGTCTAGCATAAGGAGATAACCATCATCATAGGTTTGTGGGGTTTCTTAGGGACAAAAAGATGGGAACACAAAGCTTACAGACATCAGGAGAACCATCTTATTATTTGCCTGCAAAGCCATTCAGCGTTGTCTCATATCACAAATACCTGAGACTCGCAGGTCTTCTCTGCTTACATGAATCATACACTTTGGGTCTAGGCCCAGGTCTGGAACCAGTGGAGCTCCCTGAGGATGGGAGGGAGAATATTATTGTTTATGGAAATTTCATCATGAAGATCCTTCAACTCAACATTGTAAGCATTGTAAGATGAGTTTTCACATGACTTCCTTCAAAGTCCACAGTCAACATTTTCAATCCTCATTTTTACCACTCAAGGATTAGCACTGGAGATTCTAGGTAGACCAGCATGCAGCTGAACTTAACTTCAGAAGGTCATATAAAGCAGAAAGACCATTAACCATCTATGCTTGCTTTGGGACCGCCAAGGTCCTGGCCTGTCTCTATCCATTACTTTTGCAGATGTCAAAGGCCTTCAGGCTCGGCACGGACGGAACCACCATTACCTCCATACACGAGGTTGACTTCCAAAAGCGATTGTTTGAATTTTTTTTTTAATTTTTTTTTTTTATGTGTGTGTGTGTGTGTGTGTGTGTGTGGCCAGCTCAGCCCACCAGGGGGCGGGGCTGGCTGGCATGTGGTGCTGGGGGATTGAACCGCGGTCCATGTGCTTTGCTAAGCTTGTTCTAAGTAGGTGCTTTAGACCACTGAGCCATCTCACCAGCCCCAATAGTTTGAATTTCAAGGGTCTCCCCAGTACTCATACACTAAAGGCTTAGACCCAGATGGTAATGCTACTGGGAGACAGTGGGACCTTAAAGAGTTGGGGACCGGCAGAAGTGAAATAAAGGCCACATTGTCATTGTCCCCCTACTTCCTGGCCACTGTGCAGTGAGCAGCTTTGCATTACTATGTGCTTCCCATCATGAGTCTTTTCTTTGCAACAGCCTGGACAGTGGAGCCGGGTGACCATGGACTGAACCTTTGGAACCAGGAGCCAAAATTGACTTTATACCCCTGTCTGTTTACTTCAGGCATTTTATCACAGTCACAGAAAGCTGATGAACACAAAAGCCTAGGCTGCGAGTCTCTCAGGGACTAAATTTCTAGAATAGAATGCAAGGTGAGGGAGCAGTCTTGTGCTATGAAATCATATTTTAAGACTCTTGACCTTCTAACTTAAGTGTTCTTAGCTTTTTTTCTATGAAAAATTAGTCGTGGCAGCACCATGTCTGATTTGAATGGGGAGGTATGCTAATGCAGCCACTCTGAAAAGTACTTGCTAAATTGTTAAACAAGCTTAAGATTTTGGTTATTCTTTGACCCAAAAGTAATTCTAATTCTGTGAATTTACCTGACAAAAATAACTCTTAGAGATAGGGCTCAGCTCTAGGAGTTGTACTTTTCTGTTGCAACAGCTTATCAGTGCTGGTGAACCTGTAGCTCATGTGTTGCAGCCAGCTGTTTATTGTCACCCGAAGCTCTGAAAGCTTCACCACCACTGGCCTCAGGGATCTGCTTTCGTGGCTTTTGGTAATGTTCTTATTTGCTGAGGAGCGGCAGGCTTACATTCCCAGCTTTGCCATGCACTCATCATAGATTTGTCATCTCTCTTGATCACAGGGACTGCAAACTGAATATGGTCAAAATAATTCAGTACTCTTGATTTCCCATTAGAAAGCCTATTCCTCCTCAGTTCTTCAGATATGACAATTAAGTCTCTACAAGAAGAGAACAAGGGATATTTCATCTGCAAGCATATGAGAGGAATAATCTCTGGAAATATGAGATATACGAAAATGGCTCTTAATGATTGTTATCTGGAATGTTTTTTAATCCCTAATTTGTTTTTTTAATTATTTTTAAAAATTATTTGTGTGTGTGTGTGTGTGGCCAGCTCAGCCCATCAGGGGGCGGGGCTGGCTGGCACGTGGTGCTGGGGGATTGAACCACGGTCCCTGTGCTTTGCTAAGCTTGTTCTAAGTAGGTGCTTTAGACCACTGAACCATCTCACCAGCCCCATTAATCCCTAATTTGTGAAAAATTAGTCTTGGTGGCACTGTCTGTTAAAGCAGAAACATTAATTTAAATATTTGATTCTGCAAGGGAGAATCCAAAGAGAAAAACTGAGAAATTATTTAGCTTGTGACACTTATGTGGCAAAACTGTCCTGAGATCTGGTCATTTCCAGGAGCAACCAAGTGGTCTAGCTGTCCAATGGCCATGAGACACAGTGAAAGTCCCACGGTAGGAAGCTCTGTCCAACTCAGAAGTTACAACTGAATGGGAAGAAATTGTTTAAAATGAAAGAATTGGCAGGGAGGAGAGAAAAAAAGGAAAATGGGGGAAAATGATATAAAAGGATAAAAGGGAGACAAACCCTTTTTTAAACGGAGAGGGGTTTAAGGGAGGAGAAAGGAGTGGGGAAAAAGCAATCACATGTCATGTACAGATACAGTTTTCCTATGATGAATAAGATATTTATTTATTTATTTATTTTTTTAAATATTTATTTATTTTTATTTATTACATTTATTTATTGT